TGGTGAAGATGGATTGTTGAAGACGGATTGGTGAAGATGGATTGGTGAAGATGGATTGGTGAAGATGGATTTGGTGAAGACGGATTGGTGAAGATGGATTTGGTGAAGACGGATTGGTGAAGACGGATTGGTGAAGACGAATTGGTGAAGATGGATTGGTGAAGATGGATTGGTGAAGACAGATTGGTAAAGACGGATTGGTGAAGATGGATTGAAGACGGATTGGTGAAGACGGATTGGTGAAGATGGATTGGTGAAGATGGATTTGGTGAAGACGGATTGGTGAAGACGAATTGGTGAAGATGGATTGGTGAAGATGGATTGGTGAAGATGGATTGGTGAAGACGGATTGGTGAAGATGGATTGGTGAAGACGGATTGGTGAAGATGGATTGGTGAAGACGGATTGGTGAAGATGGATTGGTGAAGATGGATTGGTGAAGACGGAAGATGGATTGGTGAAGACGGAAGATGGATTTGGTGAAGACGGATTGGTGAAGACGGATTGGTGAAGACGAATTGGTGAAGACGAATTGGTGAAGATGGATTGGTGAAGACGGATTGGTGAAGACGGATTGGTGAAGATGGATTTGGTGAAGACGGATTGGTGAAGACGGATTGGTGAAGACGAATTGGTGAAGATGGATTGGTGAAGACGAATTGGTGAAGATGGATTGGTGAAGACGGATTGGTGAAGACGGATTGGTGAAGATAGATTGGTGAAGATGGATTGGTGAAGACGGATTGGTGAAGACGAATTGGTGAAGATGGATTGGTGAAGATGGATTGGTGAAGATGGATTGGTGAAGACGAATTGGTGAAGATGGATTGGTGAAGTCGGATTGGTGAAGACGGATTGGTGAAGACGGATTGGTGAAGACGGATTGGTGAAGATGGAAGTACAGTGCACAAAGGCTTCCGATCTGAGGGTCGCTGCCCCAAAGCAGCACCTGGTGTAAGCATTCGCAGGCACCCATCCAGGCACTATCCGTGGTCAAACACCGCTTAGCTTCTGTGCGTAATCACAAGACGCAATCTACACGACCCACAGCACCCACAGTGAGTCCATCAAACGAAAAGATCCCCCCGGATAGCCTGAACAAGACGGTTGGGGCAAGTGCCGTAAGCGAGCGGAACCACGGCCTGCCGCCTTTATCATCCCTAGTGGCGATGTTTGCACACCGCACCAGGTACTCATTTAAGGCTGAGTCGACGTAAAGGGAGGGTCAAGCCTGGTTCAGATAATTAATCGCTGATGTTGGATTAATGAATGAACAAAGATCCCCCGTATAGCCTTAACAGAATGTTAGGGCAAGTGCTGTTAGCGAGCACCTATGAAGGCCGCAACGGCACACGAGGGGTGGGTGGCCAGCACCACGCCCGGCCGCCTTTGTCTCCCCCAGTGACGATGTTTACACATCGCAGCAGGTGCTCATTTGAGGCTGAGTCGACCTTGGGGAGGCCCAGTGCCGGTTCAGATAATCGTCACTGATGTTGGCCATGAGCGGGAATAGTGCAATTCTGGCTATCGCCTGATGAGGCTGTTGTAATCACTAGCGAAACGTCGGACTCGAATTGTAAATGTTGTGGGTTTACTCTTCAACACACAATCGGTTAGTGCTGAACTAGTAACTAATTGGCACGTTTTGTTTAGGTGATAAACCTCACTAATTAGCTGTGTCAGGTGGTGGCAGGTTTCACGACACATTTATATTGAAGCGAATCTCATGGCAATTTACGCCAGCAACGCTCATACCTAAAAACTAAACGCATTTTTATTTTATTTTACCGGGTAAGGCCTACCGATCTATGAAGCGGCTTGGTGATGACCACGCGGCTTATCATCACGTGAACATTTATGGCAGCCAAGCACTCTGAACGCGTGGTGATGTTGATTCTGAATGTGAAGGGAACCCCCGGAGGAGCCGGAGAGAAATCCACGCGACCACGGGGAGAGGGAGAGAGACACGCAAACTCCAAATATACAGCAGCAGCAGGCATCGTCAGGGTCGGGATTGAACCCCCGACCTCCTGTTGACCAGGCGAGGTAGTTAACATCTCCTGGCCACCGTGATGATGAGAGAGAGACACGCAAACTCCAAATATACAGCAGCAGGCATCGTCAGGGTCGGGATTGAACCCACGACCTCCTGTAGACCAGGCGAGGTAGTTAACATCTCCTGGCCACCGTGATGATGAGAGAGAGACACGCAAACTACAAATATACAGCAGCAGCAGGCATCGTCAGGGTCGGGATTGAACCCACGACCTCCTGTAGACCAGGCGAGGTAGTTAACATCTCCTGGCCACCGTGATGATAAGAGAGAGACACGGAAACTCCAAATATACAGCAGCAGCAGGCATCGTCAGGGTCGTGTTTGAACCCACGACCTCCTGTAGACCAGGCGAGGTAGTTAACATCTCCTGGCCACCGCGATGATGAGAGAGAGACACGCAAACTCCAAATATACAGCAGCAGCAGCAGGCATCGTCAGGGTCGTGATTGAACCCACGACCTCCTGTAGACCAGGCGAGGTAGTTAACATCTCCTGGCCACCGTGATGATGAGAGAGAGACACGCAAACTCCAAATATACTGCAGCAGCAGCAGGCATCGTCAGGGTCGGGATTGAACCCACGACCTCCTGTAGACCAGGCGAGGTAGTTAACATCTCCTGGCCACCGTGATGATGAGAGACACGCAAACTCCAAATATACAGCAGCAGCAGCAGGCATCGTCAGGGTCGGGATTGAACCCACGACCTCCTGTTGACCAGGCGAGGTAGTTAACATCTCCTGGCCACCGTGATGATGAGAGAGAGACACGCAAACTCCTAATATACAGCAGCAGCAGGCATCGTCAGGGTCGGGATTGAACCCACGACCTCCTGTATACCAGGCGAGGTAGTTAACATCTCCTGGCCACCGTGATGATGAGAGAGAGAGACACGCAAACTCCAAATATACAGCAGCAGCAGCAGGCATCGTAAGGGTCGGGATTGAACCCCCGACCTCCTGTTGACCAGGCGAGGTAGATAACATCTCCTGGCCACCGTGATGATGAGAGACACGCAAACTCCAAATATACAGCAGCAGCAGGCATCGTCAGGGTCGGGATTGAACCCACGACCTCCTGTATACCAGGCGAGGTAGTTAACATCTCCTGGCCACCGTGACGCCCCTGACGCTTCCGAGATCGGACAAAGTCGAGCGGATTCCGCCTGATTTGGTCAAATATCTCCATGAAGGTACGAGAATAAAAAAGAAAATTCAATGAATAATATTCCGTTCCTTCATCCCCGTCATCGTTATCAGCCGTGGTCAATCCACAGCTGGATAGGCCTCTTCAAACTGCCGCCACCTTAGCCGAGTCCCTGGTGGCGCCCCTGATGCGGCGATTAAAGCAGAGGACGACTGATGGCGAGACAAAGGCGGTCGCCCGTCCTGAAATGTTCGGTCACACCACCCCCGCCGCAGCAGGGCCGTTTCCAGCCTTCACGCGTGCTCGCTGACAGCACTCTGCTGGTGGCTACACGGGGGATCTTTATCCGTGTGGGTGCGTGGGTGTACACGTGGCTGTGAGCGTGCCGGTCATCTCAGTCTCCCACGTGCCCCGTGACCTCCTTGCCCGCGAGCCTTCGACACTCCACGTGGCCTTGAGGTGCACCTCACCTGGCAAAAGCGCCGTGGTGGGTGATGTTGTGCGTTTGCTCTATGTGGTGGGTGTGTTCGGCACTGGGGAGACAAAGGCGGCCCGGCGTGGTGCTGGCCGTCCACCACCCTCGTGTGGTGAGGGGTAGAGACAGGAGGAAGGGAGAGATGGAGGGGGAGTCGGGAGTTGATGGACAAAGGAAGCGAAGGAGGCAGGAAGGGAGGAATGGAGGGGGGCAGGAAGGGAAGCAAGAGGGGAGGAAGAGAGAGGAGGGAGGGAGGGGAGGCGCTGGCGAGGGGTTAGGAAAGGCCACAGGCGGGAGGACGGGGGAGGCGGCGAGGCGGAGCTCTGCTCGCCTCACTCTGTAGCAGCAGCAGCAGAGCACTCTGTAGCAGCAGCAAAGCACTCTGTAGCAGCAGCAGAGCACTCAGTAGCAGCAGCAGCACTTTGTAGTAGCAGCAGCAGAGCACTCTGTAGCAGCAGCAGCAGCAGCAGAGCACTCTGTAGCAGCAGCAGAGCACTCTGTAGCAGCAGCAGAGCACTCTGTAGCAGCAGCAGAGCACTCTGTAGCAGCAGCAGAGCACTCTGTAGCAGCAGCAGAGCACTCTGTAGCAGCAGCAGAGCACTCTGTAGCAGCAGAGCACTCTGTAGCAGCAGAGCACTCTGTAGCAGCAGCAGAGCACTCTGTATCAGCAGCAGCAGAGCACTCTGTAGTAGCAGCAGAGCACTCAGTAGCAGCAGCAGAGCACTCAGTAGCAGCAGCAGCACTCTGTAGTAGCAGCAGCAGAGCACTCTGTAGCAGCAGCAGCAGAGCACTCTGTAGCAGCAGCAGAGCACTCTGTAGCAGCAGCAGCAGAGCACTCTGTAGCAGCAGCAACAGCAGCAACAGAGCACTCTGTAGCAGTAGCAGAGCGCTCTGTAGCAGCAGCAGCAGAGCACTCTGTAGCAGCCGCAGCAGCAGCAGCAGAGCACTCTGTAGCAGCAGCAGAGCACTCTGTAGCAGCAGCAGAGCACTCTGTAGCAGCAGCAGAGCACTCTGTAGCAGCAGCAGAGCACTCTGTAGCAGCAGAGCACTCTGTAGCAGCAGCAGAGCACTCGGTAGCAGCAGCAGAGCACTCTGTAGCAGCAGCAGCAACAGAGCGCTCTGTAGCAGCAGAGCACTGTAGCAGCAGCAGAGCACTCTGTAGCAGCAGCAGCAGAGCACTCTGTAGCAGCAGCAAAGCACTCTGTAGCAGCAGCAGAGCACTCTGTAGCAGCAGCAGAGCACTCTGTAGCAGCAGCAGATCACTCTGTAGCAGCAGCAGAGCACTCTGTAGCAGCAGCAGAGCACTCTGTAGCAGCAGCAGAGCACTCTGTAGCAGCAGCAGCAGAGCACTCTGTAGCAGCAGCAGCGGTGGCGGCAGTGGCAGTGTAACCCTCGAGCCCCGCTGCGCATCGCGCTCCTGAGCACCGCTCGGCGCCTCCTCCACCCAGGCCGAGCCCCTCTGCCCCCACCTTCCCCCAGTGTCTGGCGAGGAGTGGCGGGCGGCGGCGGCGGTGGTGGGAGACCCTGGGGATATTTCACGGTGCGCCCATTGGACCCGCGCGCCCAGTGAGTGGGTCTCTGGCTCCCCCGTGAGGTCTCTGGCTCCCTTTGGGGTCTCTGGCTCCCCCGTGGGGTCTCCGGCTCCCGCGTGAGGTCTCCGGCTCCCCCGTGGGGTCTCCGGCTCCCCCGTGGGGTCTCCGGCTCCCCCGTGGGGTCTCTGGCTCCCCCGTGAGGTCTCCGGCTCCCCCGTGGGGTCTCCGGCTCCCCCGTGGGGTCTCTGGCTCCCCCGTGGAGTCTCCGGCTCCCCCGTGGGGTCTCCGGCTCCCCCGTGGGGTCTCCGGCTCCCCCGTGGGGTCTCTGGCTCCCCCGTGGGGTCTCTGGCTCCCTGTGGGGTCTCTGGCTCCCCCGTGGGGTCTCTGGCTCCCCGTGAGGTCTCTGGCTCCCTGTGGGGTCTCTGGCTCCCTGTGGGGTCTCTGGCTCCCCGTGAGGTCTCTGGCTCCCCCGTGAGGTCTCTGGCTCCCTGTGGGGTCTCTGGCTCCCCCGTGAGGTCTCTGGCTCCCCGCGCCATGGCCGCCCGGCCGCTGCGGCTCGAATCGAGGCGAGCCGAGTGTGGACCTTGCTCCCCCTTCTCTGCGCAGGAGGGGAGATTCTCCTCGCCCGCTCTCGACTTCTCCCTGAGCTACCAGCACCACCAACAGCAGCTTCACCACCACCACCAGCATCATGAGCAGCATCGTCAGCAGCAGCAGCAGCGTCAGCCCTATCCTCATCATCAGCTGCACGCCGCTGCTCCTATGGAGAGCGGCCTCATCGCTGACGACTCTTCTGAGAGCGAGACGGAGAGTTCGTCCCATCACGACCACGAGCACCACCATCACCAGCCGAAGCTCATCCGCAAGGTGTCCACCTCGGGCCAGATCCGCAGCAAGGTACCGACTGTGAATAACCGTGACACTCGCACGCAGCACTTAGACACTCGCACGCAGCACTTAGACACTCGCACGCAGCACTTAGACACTCGCACGCAGCACTTAGACACTCGCACGCAGCACTTAGACACTCGCACGCAGCACTTAGACACCCACACGCAGCACTTAGACACTCGCACGCAGCACTTAGACACTCGCACGCAGCACTTAGACACTCGCACGCAGCACTTAGACACTCACACGCAGCACTTAGACACTCGCACGCAGCACTTAGACACTCGCACGCAGCACTTAGACACCCACACGCAGCACTTAGACACTCGCACGCAGCACTTAGACACTCACACGCAGCACTTAGACACTCACACGCAGCACTTAGACACCCACACGCAGCACTTAGACACTCACACGCAGCACTTAGACACTCATACGCAGCACTTAGACACTCGCACGCAGCACTTAGACACTCGCACGCAGCACTTAGACACTCACACGCAGCACTTAGACACTCACACGCAACACTTAGACACTCACACGCAGCACTTAGACACTCACACGCAGCACTTAGGCACTCACACGCAGCACTTAGACACTCACACGCAGCACTTAGACACTCACACGCAGCACTTAGACACTCACACGCAGCACTTAGACACTCACAAGCAGCACTTAGACACTCACACGCAGCACTTAGACACTCACACGTAGCACTTAGACACTCACACGCAGCACTTAGACACTCGCAGGCAGCACTTAGACACTCACACGCAGCACTTAGACACTCACACGCAGCACTTAGACACCCGCACGCAGCACTTAGACACTCGCACGCAGCACTTAGACACTCACACGCAGCACTTAGACACTCGCACGCAGCGCTTAGACACTCGCACGCAGCACTTAGACACTCACATGCAGCAGTTAGACACCCACACGCAGCATTTAGACACTCACACGCAGCACTTAGACACTTACACGCAGCACTTAGACACTCACACGCAGCACTTAGACACTCGCACGCAGCACTTAGACACTCGCACGCAGCACTTAGACACTCGCAGGCAGCACTTAGACACCCACACGCAGCACTTAGACACTCACACGCAGCACTTAGACACTCGCACGCAGCACTTAGACACTCACACGCAGCACTTAGACACTCACACGTAGCACTTAGACACTCGCACGCAGCACTTAGACACTCACACGCAGCACTTAGACACTCACACGCAGCACTTAGACACTCACACGCAGCACTTAGACACCCACACGCAGCACTTAGACACCCACACGCAGCACTTAGACACTCGCACGCAGCACTTAGACACTCACACGCAGTACTTAGACACTCACACGCAGCACTCAGACACTCGCACGCAGCACTTAGACACTCGCACGCAGCACTTAGACACTCACACGCAGCACTTAGACACTCACACGCAGCACTTAGACACTCACACGCAGCACTTAGACACTCACAAGCAGCACTTAGACACCCACACGCAGCACTTAGACACTCACACGCAGCACTTAGACACTCACAAGCAGCACTTAGACACTCACACGCAGCACTTAGACACCCACACGCAGCACTTAGACACTCGCACGCAACACTTAGACACTCACACGCAGCACTTAGACACTCACACGCAGCACTTAGACACTCACACGCAGCACTTAGACACTCACACGCAGCACTTAGACACTCACACGCAGCACTTAGACACTCACACGCAGCACTTAGACACTCACACGCAGCACTTAGACACTCACACGCAGCACTTAGACACTCACACGTAGCACTTAGACACTCACACGCAGCACTTAGACACTCGCAGGCAGCACTTAGACACTCACACGCAGCACTTAGACACTCACACGCAGCACTTAGACACCCGCACGCAGCACTTAGACACTCGCACGCAGCACTTAGACACTCACACGCAGCACTTAGACACTCGCACGCAGCGCTTAGACACTCGCACGCAGCACTTAGACACTCACATGCAGCATTTAGACACCCACACGCAGCATTTAGACACTCACACGCAGCACTTAGACACTTACACGCAGCACTTAGACACTCACACGCAGCACTTAGACACTCGCACGCAGCACTTAGACACTCGCACGCAGCACTTAGACACTCGCAGACAGCACTTAGACACCCACACGCAGCACTTAGACACTCACACGCAGCACTTAGACACTCGCACGCATCACTTAGACACTCACACGCAGCACTTAGACACTCACACGTAGCACTTAGACACTCGCACGCAGCACTTAGACACTCACACGCAGCACTTAGACACTCACACGCAGCACTTAGACACTCACACGCAGCACTTAGACACCCACACGCAGCACTTAGACACCCACACGCAGCACTTAGACACTCGCACGCAGCACTTAGACACTCACACGCAGCACTTAGACACTCACACGCAGCACTTAGACACTCGCACGCAGCACTTAGACACTCGCACGCAGCACTTAGACACTCACACGCAGCACTTAGACACTCACACGCAGCACTTAGACACTCACACGCAGCACTTAGACACTCACAAGCAGCACTTAGACACCCACACGCAGCACTTAGACACTCACACGCAGCACTTAGACACTCACAAGCAGCACTTAGACACTCGCACGCAGCACATAGACACTCGCACGCAGCACTTAGAAACTCACACGCAGCACTTAGGGGCCGTCCATAAATGACGTCACGCACCTGGGGGGGGGCGGGGTCAGACATTTGTGACGATGTGTGACGAGGGGGGGGGGTGAGAAATGTGACGTCACATCAACATGCGCAACCTTAAATATAAACAACACGTTCTACTTAATTAAATAGAATTGTTATAACAACACTCATTGTGATTACTTTTCATGATTAACTCTTTGATTATTTAAATTTACTAAGGTCACCTTTATTTATTCCATAAAGGAGCATAAATGTAGTTATTCAACATTTTGATTTTAATCATTCTACCAGGGCTTGCATTCTGTGGAATGAAGATGTGATTATTATAATTGTACTCTCCATTTTGCTTAATTCTACTACAAAGTTTCAAGTATTTTTTATAGTAATAATTACTTTTTATAATAAAAAAAATAAAAAATCGTCCAAAATCGCGTGACGGTGCATCAACTTGCAGATATTGCGATTTGATTTGATTTGCGATTACAATTTTTTAAGTCAATCTTCAGTTCAATATTCACTGTGTCATAGATTTAAAACACGTGATGGAGCATTACCACGTGATACCATCAACATATTAACCGCTCTAAGCAAGGATGAGAACTTAAAATATATTAATTGCTTCCAACATGTCATTTATTAAAATGTTTTAATTGAAATAGAACAATCAAACATAGAACAATTGTTAAGTTAAATACATAAAGTTATTATAATAACTAAAACGATTCCAATAAGAAAGTAATAGGACTTTTCAATTCGCAAAAAATCCCAGCGATTTGCTAATCGCATTGTTTCAAATATCGATTTGCAATCGATTAATCGTTCAGCCCTACTTCTTACCCCCTTCGAAGACGTGCTGGGCAGCGTGGAAGAGCAGGCCAAGTACTCCTCCGAGGTCCTTCCGCAGGCAGCGGGAGCGAGTAACGCGCAGCAGTGACTCCATCCAGCAGTGGATTAGTCGTGGCTGATGATTCGTTATTGACGGCCCCTTCTGTTGAATGGAGCCCATTACTGGACGAGGATCTAACTGACAATGCCGCGTCCTATGACCAAACTTCCTTTGACCAAACTTCCTTTGACCAAACTTCCTTTGACCAAACTTCCTTTGACCAAACTTCCTTTGACCATACTTCCTTTGACCAAACTTCCTTTGACCAAACTGCCTTAGACCAAACTTCCTTTGACCAAACTTCCTTTGACCAAACTTCCTTTGACCAAACTTCCTTTGACCAAACTTACTTAGACCAAACTTCCTTTGACCAAACTTCCTTAGACCAAACTTCCTTAGACCATACTTACTTTGACCAAACTTCCTTTGACCAAACTTACTTTGACCAAACTTCCTTTGACCAAACTTCCTTTGACCAAACTTCCTTAGACCAAACTTCCTTAGACCAAACTTACTTTGACCAAACTTCCTTTGACCAAACTTACTTTGACCAAACTTCCTTAGACCAAACTTCCTTTGACCAAACTTCCTTAGACCAAACTTCCTTAGACCATACTTACTTTGACCAAACTTCCTTTGACCAAACTTCCTTTGACCAAACTTCCTTTGACCAAACTTCCTTTGACCAAACTTCCTTTGATCAAACTTCCGTTGACCATACTTCACCACGCTGGTCGGTGCGTGTTGGTGACAGGCCCGGGACCGGTCCAGCTCGCACTCACCACTCAATGCAAGCCGTGCTCTGGGCTGTTCATAGCGCAGTGCGCTAACCATTGCGCCACCGCTCCATACCCTACACACATTGCACACAATACACAGTACATACGCAGTACACACATCGCACACACACAGTACACACTTTACACACACATTACACACACAGTACATGTGTTACACACAGATTACACACGCGGTACACACACGACACACAGTACACACAGTGCACACACAGCACACACAGTACACACACAGTGCACACACAGTACACACACAGTACACGTGTTGCACACAGATTACACACGCGGTAGACACACGACACACAGTACACACAGTGCACACACAGCACACACAGTGCACACACAGTACACACATCACACATTACACACGTAGTACACGTGTTACACACACAGTACACACGCGGTACACACACGACACACAGTGCACACAGTACACACACAGTGCATACATTACACACACAGTACACAAACAGTACGCACACACAATGTGTCTGCATCTGAGTGAATTAACACCGCATAGTAAGGGCGCGTCTGTGGCTATACACACGTGAGCCGCTGGTGCGCGCGAACCCGCGCGGAGCGAACCCGCACGGAGCGTGTGAACCTTGCAGCGTGACCTTGGTTGCTGTGTTCGATCCTTGATGTTTGTTTCATTTTCACCAATATATTACACAGCCATTTGAGACGTACATCTTAATTATTGTCAATGCAGTATGTATCATAGAGTAAGGCAATTGGCATATACAGTACATCACGTTTAAGTATTAACAATACGGTATATTATAGAAGACGCATTATCGACAACAACATATTACAAAAGGAAATATTATATACTTTGTATTGTACTGATGTACCCTTGCGTTTGCGACCATGGTGTGTATGTACGTTGAACTTCTTTCGCACCGTACGTAGCCAACCGCGCTAATCGGAGGTGTGGGGTAAGGACACCCACGACACACACACACACACACGAGGCCAGCTCGTACGAGCCGTGGCAGTAGGAGATTCTGATACCCTGATGACGATGCACAAATCGAGAAAAAATCAATAAAAACTCTCCAGTAGCAGTGTGGCGACTGCGGTCATCCAGAACAGCAACCGGAGGACAGCGTGGAGCACGCTGTGCTGATAGCGCGGTGAGCAGCAGAGGGCGGTACAGCGAGTGGGTCCGTGAGCCCCAGGTAACTCCACACACAAAGCTCAACATCACTCGTTACCAATTGAATTGTTGGCCGACCGCCGCAGTATGACAGGGCCCTCCTCAAATATTAGTCTTGAGAGTCACCGAGACTCGCCGGGAGGAATCCGATGTGCTATAAAGCTCTTTTCACGGGACCTTTAACACATCCGCTTTGAAGCAGACGGCGCTTGCGGTAGTCGTGTCTTTAGTGGCTGTTACACCGGCAGTATTAACCAGGGCGGCTGCTGCACTCGAACCGTCGGCCTCTACAACGGGCGGTGATCACTCTACCGCTGCGCCTCTCCACCACCTCATTTCCTCGGGACCCGGTGTGCGCGTCAACTAAGTGGATATTATATTCTTACTTCTTTCGGTAAAGTCACGTTGAAGGGAAACAATAAAATAATAAAATATATATAAAACAATAAAAATCCCCACGACGTTTCGACCGTTTGTGTTATGGTCGAAACGTCGTGAGAATTTTTATTGTTTTATATATATTTTATTGTTTCCCTTCAACGTGACTTTACCGAAAGAACTAAGAATATGAATTACTGCAGTCACGAAAGCTTTAAGTCAAAATTTAAGTGGATATTATTACCATTTTCTCTGGATCCTGGGGGTGCCTCTGATTCTCATGAGCGTCTTATGATCCCGAGAACGCGCTAAGGCACGCGTACACACCAGCGGTAGTCACAGCACATTGGGTCAGGACGACCCAGAGGTCAGATTGACCCAGAATGTTACCAAGTCTTCATTAAAAAAAACTATTTTTAAAACTATTTCTTATTTTACGAGGTGAGGCCCACTGAGCTGCGTAGCTTTTTTTCAGAAGCGACCTGGCCACAAATGATAGCTCAGCGAAGTGGCTTGTCATCCTGCGGAAATTTATAGCAGCCAAATACTCTGATCTATACAATCTACAACGGACGCTGCTATTATCGTGAAATCTTGTGACGGACGAAGTATCCCAGGATCGCCCTGAAGGCCTAGGCCTGGCGTGTCACGCAATCTGTGGTACCTTGAGGTCAAATGTCGTTTGTGGCTTACTGCATTCTAATTGTTCGACTGGCATCTTAACCACAACGCCATCGCGCCGCCACCGTGGCTCGGTATCTGCTCGCTCTCGCAGAGAGAGGACGACTCCAGAGACGCCGGGAGGAGGTGGAACCACAGACGAGCGGCATGCGCAGCAGCAGCCAGGCGGTGAGCGCCGGCGCTGCCAACAATTGCCCAAGCTCTGCGGTCCTCCATTCGTGAAGATGTTTTCAGCCAATTAACGAGCGTTTAAACGCGTCGGAGGGAACCGGAGAAACCCCACGCGTGCGAGGGGGCAACACTATATCCCGTGAAGAAGGGACGGATGTCAGCCCACACTTTGCTGTACTGCATTCCGCTGCCAAGCCAGAGCACGGCCGCTCTTCGACGCCCACGGGAAGGGACTTTCGCGACATATTGCAATCTTTGTGTGACCCGCCAACCCTCGCTGCCTCCACGGTGCTCGATTACAGGCCACTTGCGTAGCCACCGCCATCCATTGCCGTGAGACAGAGGAACGTCTCTTGCAGCGAGCAGCGCACCACCCTGTGCAGCGGAGCGGCCACAGCCGACGACGGCGATGCCGCGTGACGATCCCAACACGTCGTGACACTTCAATGCGCAACTCTTCCCCTTCCGCTCTGTTATTGCGAGCCGCCAGGCACGCGCAGCAAAGGTCAACGTTGACACATTTTTCATTTCAGGGGAAGGACGGGGCAATTTATTTGTACGCGTGGTGCTATGTACAGGTTGGCCCAAAATTCAGGACACATCGAGTTGTCACATTTACATTAACCCTGCCATTAAACATTTTAATCGTTTATTCTTTAAGTTACTATTGTATCTGTTAACACTTTCATATCAATTTGTCTTCTTCTTCTTCTTCCTCCTGTGGGCTCAGTGCTCTGACACAGCTTTGGTTCCTTTGGGGGGCTACCCAGCCACCCCAGGCCACTGTCTCTCAAGCTTGGGCACTCGCATGCCAACTCGAGTCTGCACAGATGCCATCATCATCATCATTATTATTTTCAAAGGGCAGCTGCCCGCACGTTGCAACGATCCAACAAACGCATAAGGAGGTGGCATTTGACGATGCAGCTTCAAGTGATGTCTCGTTGCACATTTACGTAAACTCGCATGAACAAGACTTAGGTGGAGGCCACCGTTGCAGTCGTTGAGTGAGTTCTTGTGCGGAGGAACGTCACTTGCAGCGAGCAGCGCACCACCCTGCGTCACGGAGCGGCCCCGGCCGCCGCCGCCGCCGACGCCGCTGCCGCGTGACGATCCTAACGCGCCCTGACGCTCCTCGCGCGCGACGCCGAGCTCGGGTGAAGGAGGCGTGGGGCGGTCAGCGCCGTGCCCGCGCCTGGCTTGGCCCGCCGAGGTTTCGGCCGAAGCGAGCGCGTCCGCTCGGATTTGTTGCGCCGCGCTTCACGGCGCGGGGCGGCTCGTTGGGTTGACCCCGGACGACCCCCGGGGCGAGGCGACTCGTCCACATCGCTCGTGTCGGGGCGCGTGGCCGCCGAGGGCCAATCGCCGGCCTCTCCTTTCGGACGGAGCAGTCCGGAACACCGTTCCGGGAAATGATTTTGGCCACGCCACATCCAACTCGCCTCTATTTGTCTTCGTGTATTGTATAAACCTGTTCGTAGGCTTAATGAAATATGGGGTAAATGATAGCGATGTAGAATTACTACGGACAGCTGTGCCTTGTATTCTAGCGGTGGGGCCTTATGCCAATAATCCATATTCCCTGACCCTGCCAGCTGAGCAGTGATTCGGAAAATTCGAGTGACAAATTAAGCGGAGGCGCTGCAACGCAGCAGGGCAGCACCACTGATAGCCCCATAGGGAAGAAGTAACAACGCTTCTTCAATCGAGCGACGTTCTAAGAAAAGCCAATGCGTTGGTATTCGCGGTTGTGCTGTGTGGCTGTCCCGTGGTGCCACGGAGGTCGTGGGTTCGATCCCGACTCTGACGCCCGCTGTTTATTTGGTGTTTGCATCTTCTCCCCGTGAATTTTTCTCCGGGTCCTCTGGTTTTTCCCTCCACATTTAAAATCAGCACCACACGTTTAGAGTATTGGGCTCCTGCTGTACATTTTACGCAATAAGACACTTCGTTGAGCTACCATTTGTGGCCAGGTAACTTTTGAAAAATAGCTACATAGCTCAGTGGCCCAATCTGGTAAGCTATAAAGTGTACAGTTTTTCAGGTTGTGCCGTGTGCTGTTCGGCACTGAATGAATTTAGTTTCTGCGGAAGCACGTGGAGCGGAACGTCGCACGTTGTGCCGAAACTACTCGTGCGGTACGACGAGAATGTACCCATTGGAAGATTATCGGAACTTGGGAGGGAGTTCCAAAGCCAGCAAATAAGAACCAACGCCGTTCGTGAATCGAGCTGGGTTATAGGAACTCGATCAGGGGACAATTAAGGATATTCACAGTGCCATTTTGAAGATATGTTACATGCAACAGCATGCGTAATGCCAATTAAGTGATTTTCAGGTCATTATTCTGCGGTGGGGTGTTTTGGCCAACAGCAGTTGGCATTGTGTGGCCCAATTTGGAGGAAATCAGTGGACTCGGAATAACCCGCGGCGCAGAGCAGGGGCAGGGAACGACGTTCAGACTCCACAGAGACAGCGCGCCCGAGTCGGGAGTCGAACCCGGGAAACGCGAGTGTGGGGGGGGGGGGGGGGGGTGGAGAGGGGGGCGGTGGAGATGGGGGGTCAGCCGTGTGACGTCACGGCGTTCAGGGGGTCGCGGACCCTTCTCCTGCTCCCGGCGCTCCGTCAACCTCGCGGTTAAATCATCCCGCGACCGTGATGCCACCT